ATAGTTCTTAGAAAGAAAGAAAATTGGAATGGGGCAAAATCTGTATTGGCAGGTCAGAAAATATCTTTAAATCGGGCAAGAAAATAGCAATCTAATAATACTGACTTAACAAATCAGTGTTTCCCATACATAAGAATCTATTTGGGTCAGGGCCACCTAAATAGATTTGTCCTTACACAAAAAGTTTCTTTGTCCGTAATTTCTGTGTTGAAATGAAGTTGAAAGTGCAGACTGACATGAAAGTGTGCCAAAATGGTGCAGTTGTTTGTTAGCTTTTGATTTCTCTGCTGTTTGGCAGTCCCTAAACACCTTCCACCCTCCTCTAAGTTGATCATCACAAACAAATTCTGCAAGCATAGGAAACACTGCAGATATGAAATCTGTTCCTCCCATTAAAAAAGATTATAGTTTCTGCTTACGTGATGCTTTGAGGCTGCAGACTTAAAGGATTCCAAACTTTTTCATTGTTTTGGCCTGTCGTGAAAACTCTTGCTCCTGCTTACGTCTGAGCTGGCACACTTCTCCAAGTTACCCCTGCCTCAGCATTGTGGGGATTTGAGACAGACAGGCAGGCGAGGGGAATTAATCAGTTATAATGCTCTTATCTGCAGCAGTTAGAACAACCTCAGAGCTTCAGCTGAAAGACAAGTGCCAGTTCTGCCATGATGGAAGTAGAGACGCTGGCTCAGATCGATGCCAAGCAGGGTCATTTCTGCTGTATGAAGTCAGGATAGTTGTCTTCTCTGATGGAGGTGATTCCCTGTCAGCAAGTATGCACTTTTGTGTTGTTTTCATTTTTGGGTCAAGTAGAAGATTTAAGGTTTTCAGCAAAAAGTGAGACTGTTTTGTGACTGCACAGAGACATTTCAAATTTGATCTCTTTTTGGCAAACAAATAAGGCATTGTAACCAGAAGCACAGAATAATAAGAGGAGCTATTGTGTGAATTGGTGGGTTGCTTGGAGACAAGCATCTGAATGGAGATGTGTACAGCTTGCACAGAGTAGCAGACAAGTTGTCCAAAGGTTTTGACTGGCAAGTAGGTCTTATATTCAGCCCACATGGTCTGTCTTCAGCTTACAGTAGCTAACCAATGTGTCTATATGATCAGGCTCCAGATGAAGCCGCAGAATCAATCAATCTCAGTCAGAAGGTTCCCATCACTACACTTGAGGAGACTGCACCAGAGGCGACAGAACCAACAGCAGAGGAGACAGAAGAGGATAAGCCTCTGCCTGAGTGGAGTGAAAAGGTGGCAAATGGGATCCTGACAGGTGAGCTTAAACTGCATTTCCCCCCAAAAACCATCTTTATGCTTTAACAGTTCGTCAGGAAAGATTAGAGACTGCATGACTAGTCCTGTGTGATCCTGTTGTCCTCTCAGGTGCGTCCTGGCTAAGCTGGGGCCTGGTGAAAGGAGCTGAGTTCACGGGCAAGGCCATTCACAAAGGGGCATCTAAACTCCGAGAACACATCACTCCAGAGGACAAACCCACACAAGTCAGCCCCACAGTTACCAAAGGCCTCCATGTTGCCAAGCAGGCGACCGGGGGAGCTGTCAAAGTCAGCCAGTTTCTAGGTGACTAAGTTGTCCTCAGTCAGCATGTTTTACTGACCTTGTGTGGTTATTTGGCAGTGGACCTCTAATTGAGTAATGCTGTGTTACTACAGTGGACGGGGTGTGTGTGGTCGCTGGCTGTGTGGGTCGAGAGTTGGCTCCACATGTGAAAAAGCACGGAGGCAAGCTGATCCCAGAGTCCATGAAGAAAGACAAGGATGGGCGTTCCAACATAGATGGAGCCATGGTGGTGGCTGCCAGTGGAGTGCAAGGTAGAGTGCTTCTACATTTAATATTCTCTAGGAGGAAATTGCTTCTACGAAGAGTACCAGATGCACTTAATATGATTTGTATTTTGTGTACAGGATTTGCGACCATGTGGACTGGTTTGGAAGTAGCAGCAAAGGACATCACTTCGAGTGTAGCATCAGAGACAGTCACCACCGTAAAACATAAGTAAGTCATCCCTTCCCTTTCCATATTTAAATGACTTGTCTGATCACTGTCACTTGCTTTGAAGTAAAGCACATGCTTGCTAGACAGGTTTTTGATGTGTATATTGCTAATGACTTCCTGCATAATACATGCAAAACCAATGTGCACTCACTCACTTTACTTTTCAATTTGCTTTTCAGATTTAGGGGTCTGCAAAACATCTTAGACCCACCTAATGAGGATAAATGTAATTCTTCCTAATTATACACAGCTATTTAACTCTATTTAACTCTTTGCACTGTTAATCACAAGCATGACATGAGCCTCTTTTTATTTTTTTGGAATGATTCAACTCTTGCACAAAGTCATCTATGCTGTGCCAATTCACTGCCCTCCTCTGTTTGGCAATTCACACAGTGGTGCTGCTTTCCACTGATTTCTCAAATGTTTCTAATGGAAAATTCTAAATGGGCAATGTTTCTGTTCTTTCCCACTGGGCTATTTTATAATTAAGTAGTTTCTTAATTCCATTTCAACATACATTGGTAATGTGAGAAGAATGCCAGCTGATTATATCCATATTGTCCACCCTTAGTTTTCTGAATCATAATGAAAAAAATATTAAAATTCACATTCTGGCAGTCAGACCGTTCTTAATTTAAGATTGCACACTTGCATGGATGTAATCCTCACATTAAAATTCACAGCATGGCATCTTTGCAATCCTTGCACTGCATATGAATTAATTCTTCCCAAATCCTCTGTTTCTCGCCTTTACTTCTGACCACTCACCCAATCTGACTTCTGGCGAAGGTACGGGGCAGCAGCAGGACAAGCCACAGACCACGCCGTCAATTCTGCCATTAATGTCGGTATCACTGCCTTCAACGTTGACAACCTGGGGATCAAAGCTGTGGTGAAAAGGACTGGCAGGCACACAGCGCAGGCCATTCTGGAAGACCACAACCTTCAAGAAAAACCAGAGAACAGGAAGCAAGTGGAGAAATCCAACAAATAGCCGATAGTGTCCTGCCTCATTCCCTCAGTAATGCCTTAAATCATAATAATTTGTATTCTTCTATCAATTAAATCTATATTTAATATTCATTATTTATAAAACATGTTATATATTTACAAGATAACTACTGTTTTATGCATATCTTATAGTTTGATACAGCTCTTAAGCACTTTATTTGAAATAAGGTAGATGGACCTAAATGAAGAAAAACAGCAGATTATATAACCAAAATTAAAACACCACTATTTTAGTTGTACGGTTTATTAATACACATTATAATATTCAGGTATTATCAGTTAACCTTGAAGGGACCAGTGTCGACACTGGAATCTTTCCTAATCGCCATGAAGCATTTCTGTCTTTGAGTTTTTACCTGGTAGGGTAAGTGCAGTTTATATAATTTGAATAAATGATTAAAAATATCATCTGAATATCAGTATCTTCAGATATAACTGAACAGACAGAAACAAGCATCTGGTATATTGTTGTTATTCCCTGTGGTGTTTAAAATGAGAAGTCATCACTGCTGCTGACAGTGCCTGCGAATCGAATGATATGCAAAGATCTAATGTTTTATATAACTGAAGCTGTAAAAGTCTGTAGTATATTATGTGTTTTTGTTAGACCTTCACTTATGAGTGAGGGTTACTAAAATGTTGTTGCCTCTCAACTGAGGAGTCTAAAAATATTATTTTGTGTTCTGCTACAATCTGCTGTGCTGTCTAAGTTTTATCCACATGTCTTCAAAATGTTAATGTTTATAGTATTTCATATAAAAATCTATTATAATTTTTTGATGTATGGACAAAACATTTAACAAAATGTGAATTTTGAAGTGATGCTAACTTTGTGCTATTTTTTGGATGTGATCTGGTTTGTGTCTTTAAACTACAGCTTTAAGAACTCAGCAGGTACATGTAATTTTCAGATGGCCAATCTAATCTAGTTGCGCAGTAAGATTTCTTTCCCACCAGAAATACAGAAACATTTATGAAAAAATAAAATGGTTAAAGAAACAAGGAATTCAGTATTTTTGATTTGGGATTCATTGCTGTCTGTTTTGTACGCTGTGTGGTAAGAGCAGGATGGATTTAAGTAGTTTTATTCTGTAAAATTCCAGTAAACACCATCTTGAATCTGTCAGCCTAATACCTCCATCTAGTGGCTGTATGTTTTATAACATGTTGATTACCACAAATTATTTTATCATACTGTTCTGTAAATCTTTATTCTTATAAATAGTAACATCAACAGAGGACCATCCAAATTTATTTTTCATTGTTGTCTAACCAGGGTTGGAGTAATCGTTCAACAATTGTGAATACAGTTCAGAGAGTTAAGTATTCTGATGATTTCAGAAATTAAGAATTTAAAGCATTTGAGGAAGTATTCAATATGTTTTGGGGATTTTTGTGCTGTCAGTTAAATTTCACTCAATACAAATTAAAATGTTTAACTTCAGTAAGATTCCAGTTTTGGTTTAATTGCACACTTAGTCGAAACTAACACACATTTATTTCAGAGATAAGCATTGGCTATATTTGAGTTTATTTATATTTACTCAATATGTGAGAGAAACTCGACTTCCTATATATCTGTCACTTATACAGTATAGACCAACAGATAATAACCATCTACACCTAGGCAAATGTGCTGTATATAGTACACATATCATATCATCGGTGACATTTCCTACCATATAGTTAGTTGGACCCTGTGTAAGGTGAAAGAATGTTAAGATTAGCATCAGGGAAGCACATGTTCTCACAGTAACCAACAGCAAATCCAAAAGAAAAAAGGTACAAAGGTCCATTGAGTCTTGAACCACACAGAGCATCTGACACTGGCTGATTTTCATTCACAAGTTTCAGGTCGTTAAACTTTGATGAAGATGAGTGGTTGCTTTGTAAAATCTTCTGCTGAAACACTGTCAGTTCAGCTGACCAGAGGTGTCTCAATCTCACTTTGTTCTGTTGGGGGTATGATAAAGTTTGTTTAAATAGTCTGTTCAGGTGGACTGTAGATTTGGCCAAAATACAGTGATGGAAGAGCAACAGCTTACACCAGTCCAGGAGTGACATACAATGAAAAATGGCTTAAAGCTGTGTGTGTGTCCATCTGTGGTTAAAAAAAAAAAGAGGCAGCTGATGTGAAAGCACATGAAGTACAGGTTCATAAAAGCAGAGGTCGGGTTCATCCAGTTATTTTCCACTGACTGAAACGAGGCAGAAAGAAATTGATCCTGGCACACTGGCAGCATTTTGTCTCCAGGGAACAGATGATTTGTCCAACAGTACTGGTGGGGCATGCACTGTGGTCAGGCCGTCAGCTGGAGGAAGTATTTTATCCACTGTCAGAGGACTGGTTATTGTCATAGATGGCTGATTTGCAGATTTACAGATGTTGAGACATGGTTTGAAATGAAATACTATGTTATCAAAGTTACACTGCAATTTCTCAAACGATATATGCAATTTATTTGACAATTCCCAGGATTACAAGGCATAGTCAATACAACTGCATCACAGACAAAAATATAATAAATAATTATACCCTCAGTTGACTTCTTAGCATCTGGCCTGGTTCTCTGTGGGGGAAGACGTACGTCTTAGCACTTTTGCCATTAAAAAAAGCAAACAATTATCTTTCCCAGTCTTAACTGTAACAGGCCAACTGGCTAGTTCGAGTTCAAGTTTCTGCTGAGTTCTCGGCACGTTTTTCCACAAACATTTCTCCTCAAGCGCTTTATTAACCTGTGCAAAACGAGACATTAAGTTGTCCATGCTGTAAAAATATGCAGTAGATCTGCTTTAGACTGAATATTTGGAGGCAGAGTCTCCTTCAGGTAGCTCGTGTACTTTGCAGTGAGCTCTTGTGTGGTTGCTGTGTCTAACTGAACATTAACAAAGGGCAGAAGGTCACACAAACGTTGATGAGATGTTCTGATTCGAAGCCTGAAAGTGCAAAAAATAGACTTTGTGAATATGTATAGTAAACATGAGCACAAGTTATTGTTGATAGTGTAACTACTTATCTAATTCTCTCCAAATTAGGATTATGATACACACAGGAACAGAGCACAATATACAAGATGCCCATGAATGAACAGAAAACACGAATTTTATCTGGAAGTCCAACCTTCGTTTCTGTTCTTTGTGAGAATGAAGAGAGCCTGGAGTTCACTTTCCCTTTCAGAAGAGGGGGAATAATTCCTTCTAGCATATTCATCTTTAAACTCATCGTTGGACCTGCAGGCAAACACAGCTCTGAATCCACACTGGTGTCTCCTTCATATTCAAAATAGTTGATTTACATATTAAGATTCAAACAAGTGAAGATGAAAAGTGTTCAATGCTCTTCTTTTAGTCAAGTAAATTTGATTTATATAGCTTGATATTATTTTGTCTGAATAGAAATCTAGTCAAACGTATGCAGGACTACTGTATGAGCCATGTCCATAAAGCTTTAAGGGGAATATTTGCAGTATAAGTGGGCCTAATCTTCATATTTTTTCATACTTCAAACATTCATATTCTCATAATAGCAACTTAAGATACAAGTAAAAGTTAAGTCAACTTTTCAACACAAGTTTTTACACTTTTAGTAGGACAGCCTGATCAGCAAACTGTGACTTTTTTGAAAACAACCTTCCAAACTTTGAGGATAAGTAAATTATGCCTTCAGCAGGCCAGCTGGATGAAAGCCATGTAATAAAGTAATTGTTTGCATCAGGTTGAAGAATTCAAAAATGCTGATATCCACAGTATGTATCTTAGACCCACTCCTCTATGACTATTCATGCAAGACGGTAGGCCTTTGATGCATCACAGTCTGCTGTGAAGATTTTAAAACATAAAAAACACCTCAAAATTGAATTCCTATTTTTTAGCAGCGAAATTAACAACATGACCGGATATAACCGGCTGTATGTTTAGGTTTAGCTAGCTTACTTAGCCATAAACTGAAGTGGCAAACGTTACATGAAAATGTTAAGTTAATTAAATAAAGGGAAACTCTCAGTCAGTTTGCTAGCTAGGTAGCTAACTAAAAAAGTAAATTAAGATAAGTTTGAAGTGTGTTGTTGCCATGGTGAAATGGGAAACACCTGCCAACAAACAGGAACGTCTGATGTCTTTAAGGTGTGACCTAATTAGTAAATAGTGATTAAAACACATCTCAGTGGAGGTTATTCTAGCAGACTCAACGTGAACGCGCATACTATAGCGAAACACTCACAGTGCGTGTGCCCGCGCAGTGACAGCGACGTGCACGAGCAGCGCTGACATACGAGCGGTCCGGCGTAAATCACCGCAATGGCAGAGGAGTTGGGGAGGGTGGAGGACACCGGCTACAGCCCTGCCTCCTCTCTGCATGTGAACACAGCAGAGTAGACACACGGCAGGCAGGCAGACAGGCAGACAGAGCATCTTCACAGTGGCAACAAAGGGACGCATGGTTCATCGAAGGCATCAAATGAATAAATGATTCATTGAGATAAGTTCCGCTTACAGATACACGTTCAATTGCATCTGTTCTGTCCTCACCTCAAAGGTAAGAGAGATTGCACCAGGATAAGGGAATTCATATGTTCTCTGCCGTTTTCTTGCTATATTGTATATTTATGATTGTCTACCTGTTACAATAAGCTTTCAGCTAATATTCCTAAACGGGCTTATACTGTTGATGTTGTGCTATACACTGTGCATTTCATTGTTATAAAGATTGAATTGAGATGCACCAGGGAGCATGAAATGGGTGTGACATGTTACTTCATAATGTGTGTATGAGCAGCAGCAGCAGCATCAATGCCTGTGTATTAGTGCTGTATCAGGAGTGTAAGCAACTAGACAGAGCCTAATTTCTGTCAAGTCTTATGTAAGCTCAAGTTAAAGAGATTATTTTAATAGTAACCACTCTCCTTGTATCATTTAGGGTATACTAGCACTGCACAGTCATGGAGCTGGAGCACTTTGATGAGCGGGACAAGGCTCAGAGATACACCCGAAGGGGCTCAAGAGGGAATGGGCTCCCCAGTCCCACTCATAGCGCTCACTGCAGCCTGTACAGAACCAGGACGCTGCAAGCACTGAGCTCAGAAAAGAAGGCCAAGAAGATTCGTTTCTACCGCAATGGGGACCGCTACTTCAAAGGGATTGTGTATGCCATTTCTCAGGAGAGATTTAGGTCCATTGAAGCGCTCCTGGCGGACCTCACAAGATCTCTGTCAGATAATGTCAACTTGCCACAAGGGGTGCGAACCATATATACCGTTGATGGGACAACAAGGATCACCAGCATGGACCAGCTGGTGGAAGGTGAGTAGTGGTCCTGAATTGCTGTAAGTTTGCCCCAGATTTAGTTTATATTGAGTAATGTGAGATTAGTTAAGTTACAAAATGAACAGCTGATGCAGATCACAACAAAATGCACGACCTCCTCAGTCTTGTACAGCAGTTAGCTGGTATTACACTATCCTGTAATTTGTGTTTTTTTGGGGGGACAAATAGAAAATCTCTTAATGTGTCTTGCTTTTCTGCAGGAGAGAGCTATGTTTGTGCATCCATAGAGCCTTACAAGAAGCTGGACTACACAAAGAATGTAAATCCCAACTGGTCAGTTGGTCCTAGGACTCCTGTGTCCATCCGTGAACCTTCTTCCCTTGGTAGTGCAAAGGCTGGAGGCCCAGAAACCAGGGAGAGCAAGGACTTTATTAAGCCCAAACTGGTAACCATTGTCCGCAGCGGAGTAAAGCCTCGCAAGGCCGTACGGATCTTGCTCAACAAGAAGACTGCACACTCCTTCGAGCAAGTCATGACTGACATCACAGACGCCGTTAAGCTGGACTCTGGAATCGTCAAAAGGCTATATACTGTTGACGGCAAGATGGTAGGTCTTAAGTTATCATTTGTAGTGGTATTAATAAAATATTAACAAAAGCCTATTTCAAAGTAAGGTACTTTAGAATATCAAAATTTTGTGAAACGGCTTTGACAAAACCAAAAAGCACCCAATATAAGAGCATGGATAAAATATTCTGTGTGAAAAACACGCCTATAGAAACTGTCAATTATCAATACAAATTAGAAGAATACAAAATAAGAATGCAATGCATTGTTGTGAATGATGTGGTCCTACACTATGAACTACACAACTCATATTAAATTATTAGCTACCCACTTGCGTATAAAAAGTGATATACTGTACACCAGTTAATTAAGAAATCATATCTACTTTAGTTTGTCAAAGTCACATTGACCTTTGCCTATCCTCTGTCCGTGCATGACTTTCAGTACTCCCCTTACTCGGAGGGTAAAACCTGTCTTACCAGTTGCATACTACACACAACTGTGCAGATCGTTTAGATCACAGTCAGTGCTTGCAGTTGGTAAGGTGGTAACATTTGAACCCAACTTTAGTTAATCTGCATTTTTGAAAAAGTTACCGAGATTTCCATACATAGACATTAACCCACTTATGTAGCATGTGCCCATATTTTGTTTGTTTATTTCCAAGCATTGGCTATTTCGAAGCACTGTGCATGACCGCTTGATTTCAATGTCAAGGAAAAAAGCAGCTAGGACAACCTTAAGTGCTCCATACCTGAGAGAGTGCCATTATCTAATCCCTTCCTCTCTACCACTGATACTTAATTTGCTCAAAAGAGAGGAAGAGGGAAGGATGCTTTTGTTGGATAGAAGTCAAAGGAGACTGGCATGACCTTTGCACATCTGTTCATAGCTTGGCTGTGTGCAGTGTCTAGATACATTAGGTTGTGGAGACCTTTGTGGTACTGTACCTCACATAGGAGGCTTATTTACACGAGGAAGACTTGGTACACATTTGCAGTCAACAGAGGTTGAATTCATCTAGCACAATCCGTGAATTTTGAGGTTTAAAAGAAATATAACTTTGCCTCTGACATTAGAGGTGCTCTGTTCTGTTCTTCCTTCACATCTCTGAGACTTGCTTCCTTACCCAAAGACAGAGACAGCCCAGTAGGTTCAGAGTCAACTGGGAATATTTGCTAAATGTATTACAAGAAATAGGTTTCTAGGACTCCATATCATATTCCTACCAACAGTGGCACATTATTGAGTGATATTCACTTAGTAAGTTAGAACAGGCAATCTGATCAGTTCTTGGCACCTGAATAAGAAGCTACTAGCATTGTCTTTTCTTATATATGTATATGCATTGAATTGAACTTTCTGGACACACTTTTGTTGACATCAATAATCTCTGTTGTAAGTGCCTTATTTTACACCCAATACATTACAAAAATTAACTTTCTTCTGGACATTATTGCAATTATGGGGCATGCTAGCTTTGCTTTATGGGATGAGATGGATGGACAACACTTAAGTGGCAACTGCACGTAGAATTGACTGATTACTATCAAAATGTCCCACAGAAATAATCAGCTCTTAAATTAAACCTATTCATAATCACCTGCAGTCTATATTAGTAACCTTATCACAAAACATAATGAGTTTTTTCTTTTTTTTTTCCTCTGATGGTTTCTATGGTGACATGGTTTCCTGGGCTGGTTGCTAAGGAACAGCCTCTGCGGCAGAGCGGTGCAGTAGTGATGTCAGGACTGTAGGTGTAGTGTGAGAGGGTTCATACTGTAGATGCAGTGCTGGGTCTGTCAGCCTTATTATACACATGGTGGCAAGATGGAGCACATGGCTGAAGTATAATCCCGGGATAGGACACATTCTGCAAGGGTTTGTAGAGGGAACAGTTGGGGATTTTCTTACCAACAAACAAATCTGTCTCCCCAGATCTTCTCATTTATTTTTGGAATACAGATTGTTTAGTGAAGCATACATTGGACGTGAAATTGCAGTTTCTTTCTACTGCATTTGTCTGTTGCACATAAATTGCTTGTTTAGTTTAGTGGGTTTTAATGTTATATTGTCCTTCTTAATAATAAGCTAATGTGCTTTGTGCTTGGCAGTGCAACTCTGTGCTCTAGTTTCTCTGCTTTTTGTAGTTTTTGCCATGTTGTGACTCCAGATGGCCAAATAAGCCCCTGTTGGCATCAAAGGACCTGTTTTCATGGATATTTAACCTTTTGGTAAATGGCCTGCTTGTGGTTTTGGTCCCAAGGCAATGTCTGTGGAAACAATTAATTTTTAGCAAGTTTGTTTTAGAAACATTTTCAGTTAGTAAAATGTCCACAACACACAACACAATCAGGTAATTAACCCATATATTAGCCTGTATAATTACTTAGATTAGAAGATGATGTTCTCATTCAGTTTGTTTCATGTTTATCCCTTTTGATTCTAGTACTGCATAATTAATCTAAATATATATTTAAAAATCACAATATGGCAATACTAAATACAATAACCAAATCGCAGGAGCTGCAATTTTTGATTGAGGTGACAAAACAGCATTATTATTAAGTACTGGAGTGCTGCACAGATGCTCTCGCCTACAAATCCTGTTCTCCAGAAAACATGTTTGTTTGTTTGGTACAGATCCGAACAAATGTCATCATGATTTTAATGGTTCTTTCAGTGAAAATGAAAATTGTTATGCAAAAAGAATAATGAATCATTCACACTAATTGTGAATCAAACTACAATCGTAATATCTTTTTTAACCATATCGTGTGGCCCTACTGGATTCCTCTACTGCAAGATTAACGGACAGACAATTTCTGTGATTTATTTTTTTATTCACATTTATTTTGAACTCGTGAATCATGTTTCTATCAGTGGATGAGCTTAGTGGGTTGCTCTGCTTGATGGCTGTAATCCCTCCATACTGCTGAGTCACTCTGTAATGGTGTTCTGCCATGAGAGTGAGATTTAACTTGGCTAAATGGACACAGGGAAGTGTAATGATGTTGGGCTGCACTTTATAAACTTCAGATGACTAATTATTAATAAAACATTATCCACAATGATAGTAATACAAACAAATGGAAGAGGGAAAGCGATAGAGGAACAGACATCCTGCAGACAAAACCCTTTGAGGCAAGAAAACATGCCATGTCTCGGTGTGATCCCGCTCTGTGTGTGTGTGTGTGGGAAGGAGAAGAGAATATTTGCATGACTGCCTATGTTTGAGGAGACTTACCCCATGGCGTTCTATTCCCCACTGTAAAGGATATGGCTCTGTACTGTAATTGCATTATTCACACTGCTAACGTCTCGGTGTGTTAGTCAACGCTTCTTGCTGAAATAGATGTTGACAGAGCCACCCAAAGACAGAGCCTGGCTTGACATCAGTGCACGAAAGCGGATGCTTAATTCTGCATGGTAAAATTATGTATCAGTAGATGAGATGAACAGCCCATTCATGCTTCAGAAATTAGATACAGAGTGGAAGCGGTAATGAGATTCATAGTGCCCTATGTGCCAAAGAGCAAAACCTAACTTATGTTTTCCAATTCGGTTCTTCATGTTGACCTTGACTCTGCTATTCCCTGGTTTGGCCTGTATTCGCTCACAATGAATTTTTGTTGGTCTCTGCTCACAACACAGATGTCATTTCTGCTTGATGCATAGTGGCTATTTGCCATTTTTAGAAAATTGATTGTATTTCACGAAGTGATGTCAAACTTATGATCACATTATGTTCTTCTGCAGTTCAGTGACATTGAAATAAAGGTAGGCATTTAGATTTATTTTAGGAGACCTGACAGACTGAGGTAGTATTCAGAATAGTTATTAACATTAACAATAGACAGACTAATTGCTTTTTTTGTGACTGTAAGAAAGTGAATTGTGTATACTGCAAGGAGATAGGGAGGTTGTCTGGCTGTCCTCTCACCTACTGCTGTGACTTGGCTGTTAAACACAGGGCAGTGATTTGCTCAGTGTCCCACTTAACTTGGCATAGAAAATACATTTTCTGGTATCCTCTTTTTGTTCTGATGCTTGAGCTAATGTTGAAGTTGCTGTTAGATTTAAATGAGAATACTCCAGCAACTTTACTTTGCTTATAGGAGATATAGTTTAATTTGATTAATCATTATATAGTTACAATAATCATCAAATAATTTGAATTCTTGATAATCTGTTGGTGATTTTAAATGGCTTTTACATATGTTGAGACATGTTGACTTATGTCCAAAGTCTTCTTATAGGGCATGACATTTGTTAGGATGATACATTAGGGCAAATCAGCTTGCAAGTCTTTTTTTTCCTCTGCTGCTCAAAGTCATACATTGTTAGAACTACTAAGGGCTAAATATAGAAACTCAAGAGTAGGACAAATGCTGGAAATGTGTGGGCCAGAGTAATTTTTAATGTGATTTGCACTTATTAAGGCAATCATCACTAATATTTCTCTTTGCAGAAATTGCAGTTATGTCACAGAATTCTGCAGCAGACCTCATTTGAACCTTGGATTATGTATGTCTGTGAATATACTGTTACATCCTCTCCTCTTTCTACTGGACTACTAGTTTCTTCTGAACATGAGGACTTACAGTACATTATGGAAAATAAGGTCATTATAGCAAATAATTGACCCATGATTCCTGAAAACAAAGTATTGCAGCGTAAAGGTGTAATCAAAATGAACAAGAACCATTTGACTGGCTGCTGTGTTCAGTCTTCCACTTCAAAGGGGAGATTCAGCACCCCGGAGAGCTCCACCTGTCCACTGGTAGAGATTTTTTTTATTACCAGTTTGTGTCTTTTGTGTTTTCGATGGTCTTTACCATGACTCAGATTGATTAGTTTATATGGCATGCATACCACCCATTGTGTTTTCTTTCTTCAGGAGCAATGCTTGTGCTTCAGGAAATCACAGATAAAACCGGGGAGATCAATATTTGCACAGGATGCTCCAGGACCACAAGGAGTGTTTGTGCCTACGTGTGTGTGTGTGTGTGTGTTAGGGGGATGGTAGGCCTGATGGAGCTGCTGTGTCACCGGGCTAGCAGGCATAAGTAATCAACATAAAGCAACACATTCATGTTTGCCCTTGTCATGCTGTTCCATCATATGTTTGAGGTTTCCTTTTTTCTACTATTTAAGACAAAAAATATGTAACTCTAATTTTAGAAAATGCATATCAAAAAATGTTTCTAGTGAAATCAGAGAGATACATTTGGTTCAAGTTTTTACATGAAGCAATCCATATTTTGTCATGCTTTTAAGTTGGACATGTTGTTAAGAGGGTGTGCACTATTGATTGATGGATCTCTGTTAATGGCTTTTACAGCTTAGTAAGAATTGTCTACCATCTAAATATGATTCAACGGTCCTATTAGGGAATAATGGCACCTCCTCCTAGTCGGATTTACTTTTTGCTTATTTGAACTTTTGGTACTTTTTGTTTTTATTGGACAGTGTTAAGAACAAGATTGGAGGTTATAGCGGGTGACACCCACCTAATGTCTAAAGCCAGATTTACACCTACAACGTCATAGTGACATGGTGTTCTATGTTATTCCATCTTACCTTGACTGACGGTGAGATTGTTTTATTGCCTGCAGTTTGTACTGTTCGGTGCTCCAGATACGATCTGACAGCGGATCTTAAAGTAGCTGTGTCTCTCTCATCGTCTCAAACTCATCTGTGATTCTGTCTGGTCTCCTTGGCAACGGCTGTGCAGCTCTCCACCCTTTGGGATCTCACACTCTTTTGGAGGAGGGTTGGGGGGCAGGGGCTGTCAGAGTGGGGCGTCTGCAGAGAAAGGGGCCATATTAAACCCCCCTCTGTGTGCAATTTGTATTTTAAGACTTCAAGGCTGAATGACCTTTCGGCTGTTTGGAGGTACTTTTGCTGCAGGTTACTGATAAACCAATCCTTTCGTTTGGTGGATAATTCATCAAGTGAAAATATCTAAACTGCAATTACCGTATTCTCTTAGTTATTGACTATTATTGATTACACTTATTCCTAAATAATCTAACATTTGTACAATGGAAACCAGACTATTGGCTTGTCATAACTAAGGAGGATGATCCCATAACATTTAATATATGGTCAGAGTGCAGTCTGGTTGACAGACTGTGGTGGCTTTCTTGTGTGGCCTTCTTTGCTCTATGTCTCTGCACTTAAGTCATCTTATTAGACTCCTGCTGAACTCTCCATGGTTAATGATGAAACAATGAATAATGTATGAACATATTAGATGTCTGCAGTTTGTCTGTCCTCGATTTTTCAGTTTTTCTAAACGTTGTTATCTTCAACTATGTTGTATCTATGTTATCGGTTCTATCCCTGGACCAGCAGAATTTGGGGTGGGGAAAGTGAAGAAGCAGCGCTTGCCCCTCCCTTATTACCACAACTGAGGTGCCCATTAGCAAGGCCCTTAACTATTCAGTGCCCACAGATCAGGCTGTGGTTGTACTGGACAGCTTCCCGGTATGAATGTGTGTAATTGTGTGAATGTGATCAGGGCGTTCCTACAGAAGAGATGCTTCCTCTCAGTTAACCCTCCCTGAATACATTAAGGTTTTTAAAAAAAATCTATAACCCATGATTTATAAATTAAATGTAATTAATAATCAGTTGTATACTTTAACAAATAATTTAAGCAACATCTATTCCATTCATTAACTAATATCCATATGAAATCATATTTTGGTTGACAGAAGTTTGGCTGAAGCCACCCTTCTGTAGAGGAAATGAAGAGAGGAGCTCCAAATTCTCTGGCGCACTGCTGTAGTTAAGCACATCAATAATCCTTTTGAGTAGAAGGTCAGGACTCTATCAGCATCTTCATTTATTTATGACAGTGGATCCACTGTGATGGGCTTCTGTATTAATGAGAGCAGCAGATGCAGCAACTGAGTCATCTAGCTCCTCTTTGTAGAACAGTAAGAATGATTATGATTTTATTTCTCTCTGTTATTATTGAGATCAAAGAATATGTGGTGACCATATTATTTTAATAGAAGCTCTTAAGAATCACAGACATCCTATGGGTAAAGGTACCATTTAACTGTCTACCATATAACAATTTTATATTTTAGGCTTTTTTTTTATGGATTTAGTGTATGCCATCACATAATTTCAGATTTGGGCTAGAATATGTAGATAACTGTGAAAATGCAATATGCTCACTGTGGCTTGATGTGATTGGCTCCCTGAATGGATGACTGGTGTTAAAGAGATGTTTTAACATAATTTTGTATTGAACGGCCCAAGACAATAGAGGGCTATTAACTTAATCTCTGACGAGGGATGGAAACCATTTAATTACTGGCAAATGCCATTGTAACACACAGTACTGAGTAAAATCCAGCAGGTTTCAAAGAAGCTTTTCTTTTTCTTTGTGGTTACCCTAGAGACATTTTCATATGCATCCAGGCTGATACACCAGTGGAAAGAAATGTTAATTTCATTATTCACATGCTGTACACACTGTAGCATTTATTTTCTCTTTGTACTTTGGCCATTTTGAATATGCAAGCACAGCTGTAATCCTATATCATTAATCCAGTGCTATTGCTTTCATTTGTCTCTCATACACTGAGATGACTTGAATGTTGATTTGATCAATAAAGTAAATGTATACATCTGTGCTGACATTCATATATTAATGATTTGTGAAGATTATTCCAAATATGACTAATTATGGTAGCGTAAGGTTCAAAAGTCATAGTGATGTTTAAGGTGTCTTTCTCTGGGATTGTGTGACCTTTGACGTAGAATATCTAGTACTGTGTATACTACATGTGCTGAATACTGTACTGTATTCTTTGTACAAACATGATGTATCACTATTTTAATATTTCATAGTTTCAATGTCCAGTTTAAATGAGAAAAAATCCTTAGCCTTTGATGTGATAATAATATTAATTTGCATCATAACATAGGTAGAAACACAATATAATTGCAGATTACAGACTTAATCAGACCCGAATAAAGTCCAAAACTGACAGTGTCAGTGTGCTGGTCTGTGCACAGATAAAAAAATAATACTTACACATCAAACTTGTTTTTGTACTGTAACTGACAGAAACATCTCTATCTTTACCAGGTCACCTGCCTTCAGGACTTTTTTGGTGATGACGATATATTCTTTGCCTGTGGCCCTGAGAAGTTCCGTTATCAGGATGACTTCAACTTGGATGAAAATGGTAATTGTTCTTTTGTATGAGGCGTGGATCACTCAGTGGGGAGAGCGTAGGACTGACACATTTTGTGTTGTTTGCCCACTGTGGCTAAACATGCTATTAACTTTATTTATTTTTTTATTAAACCATCCTCCTTTGTAATCCAACTTAATACTGAATATCCCAAATGTGAAAAAAAAATTTCCTTTTTGCAAGTTTGTACAAATGCATATTATTTCTACTGCTGTGACTGCTGCTGCTCATACTGTTAGAAGCAGTACTAATTATAAGGTGTTTTCAACTTGCTGCCACCTTGGACTGTAACCTCTTTTCATTACAAATCTTTGAGTTTAAAATGTATAGGTCAAAATTTTTTTATTTTTTTATTGAACAATTTAAATG